TACAACTAGAAATCTGCCCATTAGTGCGAAGTCGTAAGTTATTTGTTTTTCCGGTGTATGTAGCTTTCTTGTTACATGACAAACATTTTAAATAATATATTACATTCTTACTATTACAAGTAATATGGCTTTTTATGTTCCATATAGTACCATTTGATGTTGTAAATGATTTAACTTCTTGAAGGTAGAATTTACATGTTTTACAAGGATTATCATTGCATTTAAATAATCCTACTTCTTTAGTGGTTGATTGAATTTTTGAAGAAGTAAGGGTTCTCAGTAGATGGGGTGGTTGTTTATACGCAATTACTAATTAATGCATGCCTAACAATTGGATATTTAGAAGAAACAAGACTTTTTCCTAAGATTTTACCTAAATACTTTACCAGTAAAGATGTAAATGACATACAGGAATTTTATTATAGATATATTTACGATGGATTCTTAATCTGGCCAAAACATTTAGATATTGTTCTTTATTTCTTTCTTTCATTTATTATAGATATATTGATGATGGAATCTTAATCTGGCTAAAACATATAGATATCGTTAAGTTTAAAAACTCTTTGACCGAAATAGATAATTCAATCAGTTTTACAATAGACATGGGCAGAGAATTTATAATAGATGGAAATACTTATAATGTTATTAATTTCTTAGACATATCTATCATTCTTGAAAACAACAGAAAAATAAAAACAGATATTTATTATAAAGAAACCAATACTCACAACTACTTAGACTACAACAGCCATCATCTTTATCATATAAAAAAGAACTTCCCTTATGGCCTTGCTAAAAGAATAATTGTTTTCACATCTGATTACAATAAAACAATGTTTAGCCGAACTAAAAACGTGGCTAAAAGAATGCAAATATCCTAATAATATTATTGAAAAAGCGTTTCACAACGCGAAACTCCAAGGACCAGCTCCCCAAAATCAATCAAAAGAAATTTTTCCTTTAGTTGCAACTTTTAACAGCAATCTGAACTGCCAACCTTTTATTACTGAAACAAATCTTTTGCTTAATCTATCTTCAAATGTAAGAGTGAAAGAAGTTTTTTCTAATGTCCAGCCAGTAATTGCGTATAAACAACCACCCAATCTACTGAGAACACTTACTTTTTCAAAAATTCAATCAACCACTAAAGAAGTAGGATTATTTAAATGCAATGATAATCCTTGTAAAATATGTAAATTCTACCTTCAAGAAGTTAAATCATTTACGACATCAAATAGTACTAAATGGAACATAAAAAAGCCATACTACTTGTAATAGTAAGAATGTAATATATTATTTAAAATGTTTGTCATGTAACAAGAAAGCTACATGCACCGGAAAAACAAATAACCTACGACTTCGCACAAATGGGCACATTTCTACTTGTAGAACTGGGCAATCAACAGATAGGTTTGATAACCATGTATACAATTGTCAACATGCGCATAACTCCATTATAGAACCTTTTTTCCAGCTTTTTGTGTTTGTGGAGCTAAAAAATGAAAAAAACCTAATTTCTTATGAGAAGCATTTTCACAACCAAAAACATGATACTTTTAATTGACATTACAATATAGATTACAATAGTTGTTAACAGCAACATTGAATAATTATCATTTCCTGTTTTTTTTAAAAAAATTATATTTTGTTGTTATAATAACAAAAACAGCACTACTGATGATTTTTTGAAAGGCCTCTAGTGCTAAAATATTAAAATTTATAATTAGAGTAATTTTTGTAAAATTAAAAAGTTTGAAGAAAATATTTTGTTTATTGTTTATTTTGTTGACTAATTTTTTTTACTTATTGGTTATAAAAATATTTCAAGGGACCCCTTAAAATATTTTTTATTCAAAAAAAATTTAAACCTAGTGTTTTTGTATTAGATAGAACACATTTAGGGGGTGAGAGCAGATTATTTTCAAAATGTTGTTTTTTGGGACATTCATATATATATATATATATATATATATATATATATATATATATATATATATATATATATATATATATATATATATATATATATATATATATATATATATATATATATATATATATATATATATAAATATATGTATATATATATATATATATATATATATATTTATATATATATATATATATATATATATATATATATATATATATATATATATAAATATATGTATATATATATATATTTATATATATATATATATATATATATATATATATTTATATATATATATATATATATATAATATATATATATATATATATATATTATATATATATATATATATTTATATATATATTATATATATATATATATATATATATATATATATATATATATATATATATATATATATATATATATATATATATATATATATTATATATATATATATATATCTTTATCTTGTAGTCTAAAGAGACTTTTATGGTAAAAAAAGTCTCTTTTATAAACAGTTTTGTGACTTTAACAATTAAGCTACATTTTATTGTTGTCCAAAAGTCAAAGCAATTAAATTAAAGTGGAAGTACATTAAACTTTATCGTTTTTAAAAAAACAGCAACAAGAATGATTTGAAAGTATTTTTTAATTAATAATGTTTTTGTTTTTGTTTTATTAAAATATATTTTTAAAACATGTGCAGAGTGTTACTACATTGAATATCTTATAGCCTGCTGCTATAAGGAAGTGTTGCTACATCAACTATCTTATAGCCTGACTCACAACGGATTACTGCTGCATTGGCTATCTTATAGTCTGATTTGCAATGAAGTGCTGCTACATCAACTGAGGGTTTGGTTAGGGCAGGCAGTCTATCATTTTAGAAAAATAAACAAAACATAATTCAAGTTTTTAAACTCTTTCTGGTCAGGGTTAAGGTTTATTAGTGTTAGGTTTATTAGCTTATTAGCTTTATTAGTGCTCTCTTCAAAACTGCAGTTTATGGAAGAAACTTTTCAACTACCATGCAATACTATAAATATATATATATATATATATATATATATATATATATATATATATATATATATATATATATATATATATATATATATACAAATTAATAAATTTTTACTATTTATAAAAAATACTTTATATTTCCTTACTTTAATAGTAGGCAGGAAGTTTAAGAATTATTACCGAAATTAAAGATTCTACAATAAAGTGTTTATATACAATTATTTTTCAAGCAAAAGATTTAATTAAGCATTATATATTTTTTATTTTGCTCAAATTGAGACAATTTATATAATTCATAATTGTTATATAAAATATATAATTCATTACATATTATAAAAAATATTATACAATAATGTAGTGCATAATAGTTTTGCATTATATATATATATATATATATATATATGAGTTTGAGCAAAAAAAAAAAGCAGTAATATCATTCAAAAAGAATGTTTTACTTTTTCAAATGTATTTTTAAAAATGTTTTATATTATTAACTTAATTTTAAATAATAGCTTTTATAAAGAAGACAAAGCATTGCATAAGAAAGAGATTTATGAATATTATAAATTTATTTGTTTATAAGAGCATTTTTATAAGAAACTGAATTTTTATTCAAGAAACTAATCAGTCAGTCCAATCTAACTAAAAACATTTGCATTTTAATTAGCACATTCTTTTTTTTATTTTTTTATTTTTGCAATAGCCATGCCTTTAAAAAAGCATTGCAGTTATTAACAGTTATTGGTTTATTTTGAAGATGACTGTTTTGCGTTTTGTTTATAAAATGTTTATAAAAGTATTTGAAATATAACAATAACTCTTTTCTTTTATAAACATTTTTTCAAGCTTGTCCATATTGTCATTATTGCTATAGTGGTATTACATAATACTTCACGTCAAGGATTTTAGGAATATATATATATATATATATATATATATATATATGTATATATATAATATTATATTACATTACATGCAGCGGTGTAGTAAAGTTTTTAAATGCTTGAAATGACCAATTTTTAAACAAAAAGAATATTCCAAATTTTTTTACATTCATATGTATGACGAAAAGATTATTCACAATAAAAATTGCTGTGATAGGAAAATGGGAACAAGAAACCTGTTATAACCTAATAGTAACAATAACACCACTGAATATAATAACAACTCTTAGTAATAACTCAATATGTAATTTATTAATAACACCACACTACAAGTAAAGTTCTTGCTTCGTGTCTCTCAATATAATGTCCCGACCAAAAATGGAAACTCACTTGCACGTTTCTTTGTTCAACATAACCGTGAACCGGAATTACGCAATTACATCAATCCTCCACCCATAAATCATTCGTACTGCTCTAAATAAGATGGTTTACGACGTACTCGACCTGATCTTCGGTTAATTGAAGAGGTTGGTTCAGAAAAAGCACCAGGCTGTTCACACAGTTTCTCGGGCTCAACATCCATGCTAATCTCATCACGATTTTCACTCAAGATTTCGCTTGAACACGGAGTTTCAATCACTTCATTTGGTTTATCAGCATTTCTCAGAAAAGGAGTATTTATGCTTTCTGGTGTTTTAGTAGAGTTAACCTTTTCCACATAACGATTTACAATTTGGTCCACATGTCTCATCTGGATACGACCATCTAACGTTAACACTTTGTAACTAACATTCCCAACTGGTGATATAATTATAGCTGCAATCCACTTTTCACCTTTACTATAATTTTTGACGTAAACTGTGTCTTGATATCATTTCCTTGAAGGTTTTTAATTGAATTCTTAAATGTTTGAACCATTCGTTCTGCTTGACCATTTGAAGCAGGATGATACGGTGCAGAATACACTGGTTTAATTCTATTTGAATATAAAAACTCTTTATATTCTTCACTCGAAAATCCAGATCCATTGTCACTAACGATCACTCGCGGTATACCATGGGTAGAAAATAATTTTCTGAGTACCTTTATTGTTGCTTTGGCTTCAGTACTGTGCACTACTTCCACCTCAATCCATTTTGAAAAACTGTCAACTACTACCAAATATATTTTCCATTCATTGGGCCTGCATGATCGATATGTAGTCGCTCCCATGGTCTACTTGGATATTCCCAAGGATGAGACCAGGTTAATGGATTCTTCTGACTTCTTTGACATGTCTCACAATTCTTTACTTTATCCTCTATTTCTGTGTCAATTCCAGGCCACCAAACATAACTTCTTGCTAAAGCCTTCATTCTACTTATTCCAGGATGCACCTCATGTAATTCCTCAAGTACCGTTTCTCTTAAGACACTTGGCACTATCACTCTTCTTCCCCACAGTAAACAACCTCCTTTCGTTGATAACTCAGAAAACCTTAATGCAAATGGTTTCATCTCCACCTTACTCGGCTCCATCGTCAACCCTCCCTCTAACACTCTATTCAGTACCACTCCTAATATTGGATCGTTTTGGGTAGCTCCTCTTAACTGTTTTTCTGTAATTGGGGTTTTTACTAGTTCCAACATAGCCACCTCTTTGGTTTTTAACCTTGACTTTTCCTTTGATACATCTAAAGGTAAACGGCTTAGACCATCTGCAGTTGCATTCTTTTCGCCAGGACAATATAGTAATTGGTAATCATAAGCTGACAATAGCAAAGCCCAGCGTAACACTCTAGCAGCAGCTCTTGTAGGAAGTTCTTTGCTTTCTGAAAATAGTCCTAATAGGGGCTTATGATCTGTATACAATGTAAATTTTTGTCCAAATAAGAACTGATGAAATTTTTTTACAGCAAAAACTAATGCTAATCCTTCCTTTTCAATTTGTGCATAATTTCGCTCTGCCATATTTAATGTTCTTGAAGCAAAACTGACAGGTTTTTCACTTCCATCATACTGTTGTTGACTCAAAACGGCTCCTACGCCATATGGACTGGCGTCACAGTGAACCACGATTTTCCTTGATGGGTCAAAGTGAGCTAATAAAGGTGCATTGCACAATATAGTTTTTACGCTTTCAAAGGCTTGTTCACTGCTTCTATTCCATTCCCAACTTACGTTCTTCCTTAACAAATTATGGAGAGGCTCTGTGATGGAAGCCATCCTGGGTATGTAGGCATTGTAATAGTTGGCCATTCCTAAAAATCCCCTCAACTCCTTGATGTTCGTGGGTCGAGGCGCATTCATTACTGCTTCCACATTCCGTGCTGTTGGTTTACAACCTTTCTGACTAATTATAAATCCACAAAACTCCACCTCAGGTTGCATGAATGAGCACTTAGATACTTTTAGCGTCAGTCCTGATTCTTTCAAAATTTTTAAAACAGATTCTAAGTTGTTCAGATGCTCAGCATCAGTTTTCCCAGATATAAGTATGTCATCTACTCGCACTTTTACAAATGACAGTCTGCCCAGCCTCCTGTCCATCTCCCTTTGAAAGATGCCAGTCGCACTATGTACACCAAATTGAAGACGAGTCGGCTGATACAACCCTTGGTGAGTATTTATAGTTAAAAACTCTCGCGAAGTTTCATCTAACTCCAATTGTTGATAAGCTTGAGACAAATCAAGCTTGGTGTATCTCTCTCCTCCTGCAATAGTGGCTAACTGATCAGTGATATTCGGTATTGGATAATTGTCAACTGGAGCTGCTTGATTTACTGTAATCTTATAATCTCCACATATTCTTAATGGACCAGTAGGATCCTTAGAATTCTTTAAAACAGGCACTATAGGGGCTGCCCATTTAGAATACTGGACTTTCCTCCAAACTCCTTGGTCTTCTAAGCGATCAAGTTCTTGTTCAATTCTAGTCCTTAAAGCATAGGGCACTGGTCTTGCTTTATAAAACTTTCTGCACCCTTACGTAGTGGTATGTGACATTGGAAGTTCTTCAAGCACCCTAAACGATCACTAAATACTTCTGGGTATTTTTCTACTAATGTCTTCACTTTTGAATCAACCTTATCACAAAAATTAATTCCTCTCATTCTTTTAAACAGTTCTAACCATTGCAGATTTAAACGCTGCATCCAGTCTCTACCCATTAATGTGGGCACATTTCCTTTTACTACAGTTATAGGTAACTTACAACATTGTCCATTATACACTACTTCAACCAACCCTATTCCCTCTGGTCTAATCAGCTCTCCTGTGTAGGTTTTCAAAACAACACCAGAATTTTGTAATTTTCCTTCATTCTTCTTTATTCTTTTGTAAGCTGAGATCCCCATTACAGAGACAGCTGCCCCTGTATCCACTTCCATAGAAACCTCACTTCCATTAATTTTTACGTTAACCATAACTGGTCCAGTCACTTTATCGGACTCTTCACTTATTGAATATATAGCTAGAAAATCATCTTTATTTCCCTCTGTTTCAGCAGTACATCCTTTTTCTGATTCATCTTGAATCCCAATTTTCTTCACACCTAATTTCTTTTCCTTCCTATGATCTAACTCTTTCTTTTCTGATCTGCACTTTCTCTTTATGTGCCCTATCTTTCCACATGTATGACATTTTAAATAACGATAATTACAACTGTTTGCTTGATGACCCCTAAACCCACAACGAAAACATTCTTTACTTTCTTCTGATTTTGTCCGAATTTCTACTTTATGCAATTCATCTTGCTCTATAAAGCTTTCTTTTGTACGTATAGCTTTGGTATCTTTATATGCTGTCTCATATGCTCTCGCTGTGTCAAGTGTTGTCTCCAACGTTAGATTTTTTATGGTTAATAATTTTTGTTGCACATTTTCATTATTTAATCCACAAACGAACCTGTCCCTTAAATAATCATTCAAGTTTTCACCAAACTCACAGTGTTCAGATAGTCTACGTAATTCAGTAATATACCCGCTTACAGATTCTTCATCTTTTCTATCTCTTTTATAAAATTGAAAACGCTGTGCAATGGAGTTTGGTATCGGTTTCAAATGGTCCTTCATTAGTTTAACTATTTGAGTAAAACTCTTATTCTTTGTGTCATTTTCACATAAACTTCGGATAAGTTTATAAGCAGGTCCTCCTATGGTTGATAAAAATACAGCTTTTTGTTTTTCAGCATCTTCTATGTCATTAGCCAGTAGAAAATTGTCAAATCTTTCAATATATTCTACAAAATCGTCATTTTCTAAATCCAAACAAGATATATTCGATAAATGCATCATTTTTTTATCTTCGTCGCCAATTGTTATAACCTAATAGTAACAATAACACCACTGAATATAATAACAACTCCTAGTAATAACTCAATATGTAATTTATTAATAACACCACACTACAAGTAAAGTTCTTGCTTCGTGTCTCTCAATATAATGTCCCGACCAAAAATGGAAACTCACTTGCACGTTTCTTTGTTCAACATAACCGTGAACCGGAATTACGCATTTACATCAAAACCCTAAAATCTTTGCCCTCTCCTACCCTAAGCGTGATGGCAATTAGTTGAATTATTATTTTTTTAGTTTGCAATCCCCTCAAATTGAGGGTGAGGGGGGGGGGAGGGGTTATTCTTTACATGGTCATAAAAACTGAACACTGAATAATTTAAAAATAAAATTTGAAATTTATTCTCAAAAAAGAATTTCATATTCAGTCCAAAATATTTTATTAATTTTACAAGAATTTCATATTCAGTCCTAAATTTTTTTTGTTTTTACATGCATATTGATATGGAAATTATATTTTTATTTTTGGGGCTAATGTGTGATGAAGTTTACCCGCCATTTTCAAGTAGCCTACTATTTTTTTTCTTCTTTATTAGAAATCACTTATGATTGTCTATAATTTCTACTGGTGAAATTCAATACATTTGGTATTAAATTTCACCAGTAGAATTTTTCATTTTTTTTTACATACCTTTAGCGAATCATGATTGACATTTTGCAAGCTTTAGCAAATCTACAAAGACTTTTACCATTTTAAATGCCATTTACATGTAATTTTATCACCAAATTTATTGATTGTTATCTATTATATCTATGTAAGAATGCAATTTCCTAATATTTTGTATGCGTTTTTATTCTTTAAGTGTACATTTTAGTTTCTTAAAAAAAGAAGAAAAGAGGAAGGATAGTTAAAAAAATGTATCCAAAATTGCTGAACGTGCTGTAAAACTAATAGATGAACTTTATGCAAAATCAAGAAAAATTAAATTTTTGAATCTAAAGTTCATAGGAAAAAATAATATAAAAATATTTCTTGTATATTTTGTACAGATTACTAACTGTTCTGTTTCTTATTTGTTAATTAAAGTTGGAAAGTTATTACCATAAAAATATAAATATATATACATATATATATATATATATATATATATATATATATATATATATATATATATATATATATATATATATATATATATATATATATATATATATATATATATATATATATATATATATATATATATATATATATATATACATATATATATATATATATATATATATATATATATATATATATATATATAAATAAATATATATATATATATATATATATATATATATATATATATATATATATATATATATATATATATATATATATGTATATTTATATATATATATATATATATATATATATATATATATATATATATATATATATATATATATATATATATATGTATATATATATATATATATATGTATATATATATATATATATATATATATATATATATATATATATATATATATATGTATATATATATATATATATATATATATATATATATATATATATATATATATATATATATATATATATATATATATATATATATATATATATATATATAGAGAGAGAGAGAGAGAGAGAGAGAGATATACAACTTTAAAGTTAATGAGTTTATTTATAGGTTCTTTATTTATGGATTTTGAAATGGATCTTTCAGCATGTGAGATATTTAAACATATTGGTGTTTTGGTTGTTGAGGGTAGACTTCCAGAAAATAAGTGTGGAAGAAAAGCAGGAGTTCACTCATGGCCATTATCCAGAAATTCTTTTAAGGAATGTTGTACTAACGATTTATCTAAGCAAGCCAATCAAGTATTTATTCTCTTTTAATTATTTTTTTTATGAATAAAATTTTTTTTAAACTTTGCATTATGTAAATAGTATATTCAAATCATTATTATCATATATTTTTAAAGCTTTGCAGTTTAGTGGAAAAAACAAGAGACAAAATTGATTTAGCTTTTAATAAGAAGCAAATCGTTAACATAGATGTTGTATGCAGTCAAGATGAGACATTTATTGAACGATTATCTATAGCAAATTCTAAATCTTTAAATGATTATTGTTTATTGGAGCAGTGGAAAATAGAGATTATGAGAAAGAGGTTTTTATGTTTTTTAAATTTTGGTTTATTTTTATTATTTTTATTATTATTGTTCTATTATTGTTATTATTATCATTATTATTATTATTATTATTATTACTATTATTATTATTATTATTATTATTATTATTATTATTATTATTATTATTATTATTTCAAGCTTTATGGTTAGAAATTTTGCCAGTAGAAACAATTTTAAAGTTTATCTTAAATATATATATTATTATATATTTATTAAATATTATTTATTATTTTGTCAAACTATTACAGTCTAAGCAGTTACAGCCCCTAAATATGATTTAATTTGTAATGTGAGAGTAACAAGTTTATATTCATTGTAAAATTTTAAATTTCACAGAATAATCCTTCAGTGCTCAAAAATAATGACCATTTAAATTTTGAATATCTAGTAACAGCCTAAACAGTTAACTCTATTATTTAAGAGAAATGAGCAAAGTGATTAGAAACATTTTTCATCGTTTTTTTAATCAAAAAATCTTATCATCTTAACCCATAAATTTTAAGTTTTTGCAAAGTATTCGCAAAAAGTAGCCCAATATCAAAGCGATAAATATGTGAAAAGGTAAAGTCGTAAAGATTGAGAAAGTAATCTTTATAAAGAGGTTGTTTTTAATGATTTTAGTACTTTAAAAATTTATTATAGTTTATTTATTTATGCTCGTTGAGATTTAATGTCATGTTGAATCTATTATGAGCTCATTCTAATTACAGTTTCAAAAAATTCATAGAGATCAGAGTTTCATAGTAGTCAAATTGTAACCTAAAGTTAGCATAATAGGTTTATGGTTGAAAAGAAAAGTTTGTGGTGTATCGCCATATTGCACCAATCTAGATTTAAAGTCAAAGCTGTTAGTACTAATAATCATTCACATACTAGAGATGAATAACTATTTATTTAACTTAGTTTATTATGGTGTATTTGAAACATAATTTATTATTCAATATAATCCATTTATAAAAAATATAAGAAATCTATTATAAAAAAAAATGTTTTTTCATTCTTTTTCATTTGATTTGTTCAGAGACAAAATTGAAGCTTTAATTACAACACTACAAGCAAATTCATCTTTTATTGATGATTTGCCTAAAGAAAGCTACACATTTGTTCCTAATTCTAAGTTACAAAGTGATTCTGAGTTAAATTTTAGTAAATGTAGTCAAATGAGCATTGGTAGATTTTTAGTGAGTCTTTTAGAAGTATTTAATAGTGAAAAGGTTCTGGCATAAAGAAGTCCGCTAAACGAGAATATTATTTTCTGGGAAGAAAATATTTATTAGACATTAGTTCATTCTAATTTTGAATTTATGTAAGATATTATGAAATTATATTAGATATTATAAAATTATGCAAGATATTATGATATTATGCAAGATATTATGAAATTATGCAAGATATTATGAAATTATGCAAGATATTATGAAATTATGTAAGATATTTTGAAATTATGCAAGATATTACTCTGTTGTCTACAGAGATATTAGAGTGTCAACTTTATGAAGATATATTGCTAAAATTTAAAAAACATTAGCAAATTAAACTTGTGATCAAAAAATGTTTTTTACAGACCAAGTTATGAATACTTGATAGTATTATTGTGAGGAGGATTTATATGTCTGAGTCAACCTTCATGTCTAAGTCAATCTCTATTTGTCATCATTTTAGTATTCTAGATTTTTCCTATTCTATTTATATGTTCTTTTTCAATTAAATGTTTTATTTATTATAGAAGAAAAAAGATTTATTATAGGAGTGTTGACTTTACTAGTGACAGTCACCAAGAGTGGGGAATCAAATACAGCGCTGGAAATAATTAAAGCCTGCCTATTAATAATCAACTGTGATTATTAATACTGATTAACTCTGATAGTTAAATGAAAAATACTGAAAAATCAAATTTTTGTAATTTTTAATGAAATTTTGTAACCGTAACACTTTATGCATTATGCTTTTTGAGTTTGTGCAATATTGCCTAATAATCTACAAAAAACACCGGTTTTAAAATAAAAAAACACTGGTTTGTAATAAAAAAACACCGGTTTTAAAATAAAAAAACACCGGTTTGAAATAAAAAAACAATTGTTTAAAATAAAAAAACACCAGTTTAAAACAAAATATATATTTAAGAATAACCTTTTAGTAAAATATAAAATTTTATATTTTGCTTTTAACTCTCAATAAATATTTTCACTTCTCTGTACAACCGTTTTAGCATATTATTTTGAATTTTTTTTATTTTTAATTTATTTGAATTTTCATGCTATATTTTTCTATACAATGTTCTTATATCCAAAGATATTGTTGGCTTAGCATAGGAACAGCCACAAATAGTCATTAAGACTTATCCAAAGTAGTGTCCGTTATTGAGCAACATTTTTGCGTACCGAAGTACTACTCAAGCACTGAGTTGGCGGTGGCAGGATTTGAACTTGTATCTTACAACTGTCTAGGTTTAAACTTTTTTTTCGATGTTCTAACCAACTGAGCTATCCAGACACTTTTTTTGCCCAAAACAAATCAGTTTTTAGCAACCCACTAAAAAAAAGTTAAAATTTACTTTTTTGTTAAAAAAATTAAATCTTTACTTTTAACTAAAACACCCTTTCTTTCTAAAAACTTAATTTTTTCCCTAGTGAGTCTTTTCTTTACAAATGAAAATTGCAATTAAAAAGAGCTAACACAGGGAAATATCCTTTTTGTTAAAAAAACTTCATTTATTTTGGGTAATTCAAAATGATATGAAAAGATAATAATTTTTCTTAGAAAAAGTGTAAAAAGTTTTAATTTCTTTTATGAGTGATTCAAATACTTTTATTAAATGAAATAGTTGGTCTGTTGTATTTTGTCTACCTCTATTTTATGGTTATAATTTATATACTATAAATATAGGAAGATCTAAATTATTGCAATAACAATTGGCTGAAAAAAATTGGGTTTTATCTGAATTAAAGTTCACCAGCCACTGTAAACCCCCCATGCTATAGCAGAAGTGAAATCCTTTTCAAGCTCAAATGTTCCCTACAAGCAATCAAAGAATGTTGGCTTTTTATCATGACAAGAATAAATGGTAGTATCATCAGCCAACAATGCCACCTTAGATGTAAGAATATCTGAAAAATCGTGAGAATATCTGGAAGATAAAAAAAGTATAGAGGAGTATCTAGTAGATAAAAAAAGTATAGGGCCAAGGGTAGAACCTTGAAGAACCCCTGAAGTTACAGGATATGAAGAAGAGTCGTGTCCAGCGAGAACTACAATTTAAATTTAAATTTAATTTACACTACAATTTAAAAGGAAGGATTCAATAATCTTAAAAATGCTACCAGATATACTGTAAGAAGAAAGCTTATGGAGAAGACTAGCATGCCAAACTTTATCAAAAACTTTAAAAATATTAAGTACGATAGCCTTAAAGGGATCCCAAACTCCCAACACATGTTGTGTTCATATTAAAGATAATGTTAAAAAAAAAGGTTTGAACCAAATTTTTTTGATTAAAAATAAATAATGAATGCATACCGTGAAAAACAAATGTTGTTGTTTTTGCCGAAGCTCGTCTTTATTTTTTTCAACTAATCGGAGTCTTCAAATTATGCGTCGCAATCTACAGACTTTGGCAATTCCTTTGAAGCGCGTTTAATTCATAAAAGTTTTAGTATTTGACGTCACGGTAGACTTTTAACAAAAGAAAAGTGTAATTAAACTAAACTGCGTTTTTCTACTGTAGTATTTTTTTAACATACAGCAAAACAAATTTATTTGTATTATTTTTCCAAGCATTGCAAAAAAAATTTTGTAAAAAGTAAAAACAATAAATTATTTTTATTTTACAGGAGCAACTTATTTTTTACAGATATCTTAATAATTTTTAGATTTATATATCTTACTTATATTTTTTTAATTATTTTAATTAAAACAAATATTAAAGCTTTACTTACCAATCTCATGATTTTCATATGAGTATTTTACTTTATATAGAACGTTTTATATACGGTCTCTTGTTTTTGCGCAAGAGAGCGCAGTATTATATATTCTGATTCTTAATTATTTTTATTTAAACAAAGGGAACTATTTTCTAACTTCTCTGGTTATTTTTACGCTATGACAATTTTTTGTTTTCCCGTCGAAAAAAAGTATTTATTAACAATTACTTTCATAAACTGACAGTATTAATTAGAGATATTTAATGAATTGTTAACTTTTTTTATTATAAAATTTTTTTGATCACGCTGATTTAATTTAAATTGCTAAATTTGCTGAATTGGATACGGATAAAAAGGAAATACCATTTTATTTTACATTTGATTTTTGATAATGAAATTTTTAAAGTGTCAACAACTCTATACCAATTAGAACCTGTTAAGATTATGAAAAAAAAGTGCAAGAATACACTAAACAATACAGTTGACAGTAGTATCAGATATGAAACGGTAGACTTTTAATAAATTAAACTCTAGAAATATTTTTATTTATTTTTAGTCGAAGTTTTTTTGATTATTTGTTTAGTTTTTTTTCTTTTTTTTTCTACTTTTAATATTTAAAAAGATATTAAAACCTTAAATATTTTATGCTGGTTCGTTGCTATAAATTGTTATTGCGTCATATATTTAATGTTTATAAATTATGAATATTTATTATCTCAAAAATTGTTTTACATTAATTACCCGTATAAAATTAGTAACAGCTTTTTTATTTGGTTAGACGATATTTCGTTTCAATTTGCTTTGCATGAAGTTCGGAAAGTCAAACGAAAAAAATTAGTTTGAATAATCACGTAAATCAATATATATTTAAAACAAATTATTTTAATGACGGGGGTTCTAAAGTTTTTTATAACAAATGTAGGTAAAAAAATAAATAGCTAAATAAAAAGTTCAGTATTAAACACAATTTCTTTATTCTATTGCAACTGTAAATATTGAATTATTAACTTGAACTAAATTTACTTATTATTTAGAACGACTAAGCAATAAAAATAAAA